TTATAATTTTATTTTCAATTAGTATATTTATAATTTCAGTACCTATAATATAAATAAATCTAAAAATTACGCATAAATTTGACGTGCCGATTTGGGCTTATTTTTAAAAACGGTTGATTAAGATTTTAGCCAAAATAATATGTAAGATTCGCAATAGAGGTTCAAACCTTTATTTTTCTTTATTTATATCTTTCTTTCTTCTGTGCACAAAATCTCTAGGGTTACATAATATTGACTATAAATCAATATACCTTATCACCAAAGAAATCGATATATTGGTTGTTAATTTTTTTGATATTATTAATTTTTTTATTGATATTACATAAATAAAATAGAGATTTTTGTAAAAAAAATATAAGGAAATAATTAATAGGACTAACATTCAAAATGATCGTACTTTTTTTAAAATACTAATAAATTTATAATAAATTGCAGCTGTATTCGATACGCCCGAATTGTCGCCGCGCTGAATTGACGTGGAACCATAAAATTAACCAATTCCATTGAAAATAAAAATGGCAGATTCCTTGAGATGCATTGTAATATTTTGTCTTGTTTATTTAAGTTTTAATATTTTATATTTAATTTATATAATATTATAGCAGGGGCATCGCTAGTCTTTACAATCTCAGGGGCTCAACTAAAAATATCTTCCCTCTCAGTTTGATTTCCTTTAATGTTTTTGCCCTTTTCGGGCGAAACATTAGGAATATAACCGGACATATTAGCCTTTATGGCTTCTATGCCCCTAGGCCTTTTATTTACAAATCGTTCTAAGATATTTATGTTATTTTCGGAGATTTTGATTTTTGTTCAGGTCTATTTGTTATTCCAGGTCAAGGGATCCTAATGATAAGTTTTCCCACTGGTAAGAAGTCGTTGACTGATTGCTTGGCTGGTCGCTTGCGGGTATCGATAGTCCAGATATCAACGACGGGGTATCCGGTGCTGATTGTTCACCGAACAGTGAATCCTCATTTTCCTGCAGGATTATTGCTGCTTCCAAAGCTGGACCTTCGAAAAGTTCGAGTTGCTCCCTTGCAGCCATCCAAGATCTAGAGGGGAGATCCGCCGGATTATCCTCTGAGGGAATCCATTGAATGTTTTGAGAGATAGCTGTGAAATTGATCAGGCCGATCTTGAACAAAATTTGTAATATACTATCTCCAGCGAAGGGGACCTTGATCCTCCCTTCCTGTATGTGTAATAAGCTACCGATGAATCAGTGAAAATCATGGGATGTTCATTGTTCCTATGAATGGCCATAATTGCACCCATGCCTACTGCTAAGATCTCCTTTGCATTAATGTGTTCAATATCATGTGTAGGTATGTTGAAAAGCAGGCATGCTTCACTATAAGATACTGATAGATAAGTTATCGACTTCCCAGAAATTAATGCCTATATGAGAATTGGACGCGTCCACGTAGACTGGTGAGTTAGCGTAATAATGAAGGGATAAGGGGACGGCAAGCGCATCGATAACAGTGTTGGCTTTCTTGAATGCCAGGTATGTATCTATCATAGGCGATAGGTGGCCCTCGTTCATCGTTACGTAATATGGTGAGAAGAGACGGGACATGCCGGTGATTGTATATGCATAGTGATTGACCACACCGAGAACTCTAGCCGCTAGTTCTTGCCCGATTTGAAGGTGCTGATAGGAATGTTGTCTAAAGACATCTAGGCACTTCTTCAATCTTCTCCTGGAATCTGTGTCCGCTGAGACCATTTTATTTACGAGGTCGATTGGGACCCCTAGGTAAGTTATAGTTGATGTGGGGTCAAGGACAGATTTCTCAGGGGCAATTTGTAGCCCCCACCCTTCTAGGGTACAGCGCAGGGATCTTGTGGACCATTTTACGTCGCACTCGCTGCTCCCGTATATTAATATATCGTCCAAATAAACGTTGAAGTTGGCTCTTTTAACCGTTTTCGTACATGCATCTAGAATGATAGATTTAAGGCAATACGGACTGAAGGATGCTCCCATGGGGAGTACGCGATATGCGTGGTTAACGTTATTGAACTTGAATCCGAAGAATTTCCTGACTTGAGTTGCCAGGGGGATTGAAAAGAAAGCTGACCGAATATCAATTTTGCACGCGAAGGTTGATTGGTCTAGCTTGGCAGACATCAGTGGAATGGATTTAAGTTTAAACGGATAGTGTAGGAAGTTTTTGGATACTTTCGAAAAGTCACTGATAACGCGGGGGGATCCATTGCTCTTCGGAATGATAAACATGGGAGAACAGATCTGATCCTCATTGCTTGGCTCAATGACGTTGGCGGCTAGGAGTTGCCTTATGATGTCATAATACTTGTTATGCACGGCCGCGCGATTGGGATGCTTGAAGTATTGATTATTATTATTGTTTATTTTTGTATGGTCCAAGCGCGGCCCGAAACCTCTAGTGGCCACTCTCCTTGTCAATGGAGACATTAAGGGGCCTATGGTGAGTCTCGCGTGACTGATGTTCAAGCTAGGCAGGCTGGCTAACTGCTCATCCGTGAAAGTGCTTCTTGGCCCATTAGTAACGATTCCATTGAGGATACCGGGAATATTGGGCGTGATAGAGGCACCCACCTGGAGCATACCAGGATCGCTGTTTTCACTATAGATCGAGTCTTGTAGTGCCGATACGATGGACGCAGATTCGCTGTCGCCTGCTGAGCTGCTTGAAGGTAGGGATCCGATAAGGGACTACGGGTCCACCATTCGTGGATACCCGAATCTTCCGAGAGGAACGAGGGAACGTCCGATTCGGAAACTGGGCTAACGGGGGGGGGGGTTTGGCGCACAGGGGTTTGATTGTTATCCAGTGTATTATCGGGCGCATCGCTGTCCCCATCAGCGTCTGTTGGAGAAAACAATTGATGCCTCAGCTCTCTGAGATATTTATTGATAGTAGTTAGCCAGTTAGAGAGCTGCATTTCCCCCTTCGAGCCGGTGGACCGTCGCTCGGACCGGAACCCCCTGTTGGTACCGGTGGGTTGTTAGAGGAAGAAGGTAGAAGAGTTAGTGGTAGAGAGGAGGAGGGAGATGATAGAGGAGGTGTGGAAGAGGAAGGGCGGGTGTTTTCACTTCCTTTTCTTGCTCCTGGAGGGGCCGCTTCCTTCCTATCCGGTCTTCTATTCCTGGCATTCTCAATGGAATAGTCAATGTGGGAGGACGCAACACCTTCAGGACGAGCAATTAGCTAACTTGTCCAGCCTGAATATTAGCTCTGCCAGGCTTACCATTGGCCCTCTCATGTCCCCCTTTACTAGGAAGGTGGCCACTAGAGGTTTCCGGCCGCGCCTCGATCACACCAAAATAACAAACAACAACAACCAATACTTCAAGCACTCCAATCGCGCGGCCGTGCACAACAAATACTATGACATCGTCAGACAGCTCTTAGCCGCTGGTGTCATTGAACAAAGTGGCAGCGATCAAATATGCTCCCCCATGTTCATCATCCCTAAAAGCAACGGATCACCAAGAGTCATTAGTGACTTCTCCGAGGTATCGGAAAACTTCTTGCATTATCCATTCAGGCTTAAATCTATTCCGCTGATGTCAACTAAGCTAGATCAAGCGTCGTACGCCTGCAAGATTGATATCCGTTCAGCTTTTTTCAGCCCAAGTAAGGAAAATTTTTTGAATTTAAATTCAACAATACTAACTACGCTTATCGAGTCCTACCCATGGGCGCCTCGTTTAGCCCTTATTGCCTCCAATCCATTATACTGGATGCGTGCACTAAGACAGTTAGAAAGGCTAACTATAACGTCTATTTGGATGACATTCTAATTTATGGGGACAATGAAAGCGACGTTAAATGGTCGACCCGATCCCTTTGCTGCACCCTAGAAGGCTGGGGCCTCCAAATCGCCTTTGAAAAATCGGTGTTAGATCCTACCCCTACCATAACATACCTAGGGGTCCCCATCGACCTAACCAACAAAACCGTTTCTGCAGACAACGACACAAGAAGGAGGCTAAAGAAATGTCTAGACGTTTTCAGGCAACATTCATACCAGCACCTTCAAATTGGGCAAGAGCTAGCAGCCAAAGTTCTGGGAGTGGTAAACCACTATGCGTACACTATCACAGGGATGTCGCGGCTCTTCTCCTCGTACTACGTCACCATGAACGAAGGCCAATTAACCCCGATAGTAGACACCTACCTCGCGTTTAAAAAGCTAGCATTATCATTGACGCACTGGCCACTGCTTTATCACTGCGGTACTATGCCAATTCCCTAGTCTATGTCGACGCCTCGAACTCCCACATCGGAGTAAACTTATGGGAAATAGATAACTTATCTGTAGCATACAGCGAGGCATGCTTACTGTTTAATGTGCCAACCCATGCTATCGAACATATTAACGCAAAAAAAGTCCTAGCAATCGGCATAGGAACTATCATAGAAACAATGAGCACCCAATGATCTTCACGGATTCATCGGTAGCATACTATACCTATAGAAAAGGTGGCTCCAGATCCCCTTCCCTCGAAATAGTACTATCACAGATCCTGTTCAAATTAGGACTAGCTAACTTTACTGCAATATCTCAGAACATCCAGTGGATCCCCTCCAAGGACAACCCAGCGGATCTACCTTCTAGAACCTGGATGGCCGAAAGGGAGCAACTAAGCCTCTTCGAAGGTCCCGTCCTGGAAGCAGCTATTATCCTGCAGCAAGACGAAGACTCCCTATTTGGACAACAATCAGCACCCGATACCCCTTCTTTGATATCCGGATTATCGGTTCCTGGGAATAGCGATTCAACCACTTTGTACCAATGGGACAACCTATCTATAAGATCCCGCGATCTGGAAGAATAGCAAGCCTGAAAATAATCAAAAACTCGAAAATAACATTATATCTTAGAACGATTCATCCCTATATATTTATTTACATAAATACTTAATTATTACGATATTTTAACCATTGTTATTTTACTTGTATTTTGCTAATCGAAATTTTTGATTATAAATAAAGGCCTAGGAATATGAAAGCCATAAAGGCCAACATATTCGGTTATATTTCGAATATTTCGCCCGTAAGGGGCAGAAATATTAAGGAAAATAACTGCAAAGCACCTCAATTTATTTCAATAGAATTTAAGCGATTTTGTGAAGAAAACAACATTTGCCACATTCGCTCAACGTCGTACCACCCGAAGACAAATGGGGAGGCGGAACGAACCATTCGAATCTTAAAAGGGAGGTATTATGCCAGTCGAGAATCAATTAATGACCCGCAAGAGGCAATGACTCAAACGGTAGCAGCGTATAGGCTGGGAGAACATAGTTCGACGCGTAAGTCACCAGCGAAGATTATGTTCGGTCGTCAAATAAGAACTAATCTAGACTGGGCTAGACCAGAGGTGGGAAAGGAGATTGATAAAGCCAATGATAAACAAAATCAAGAACGTGATACACATTCCAATTTTAGGGAATTTGACGTTGGTCAGCATGTGTGGGTAAGGAATGAAACCACTAAGGGTTGGAGAGAAGGGGTGATTCAGGATAGAAAGGGATTATATTCCTATGTAGTCAAGACTCAGATCGTGTAATACGAGAACATGCTGACCAGCTAAGGGACCGATTGATATCAGATACGACGGAGCGCGTGATAGCTGACGGCGATCAGAGAGAGTGTGAGACCCCAAGGCGAGGGCGGACACATAAACCCCCGAAACGAATGATTGAAGAGATACAGACATCTCTCAATTAACGTAGGGGGAAATGTAGTAAAGAAGTAATCTATTGTAATATTTTATCATATTATATATTATATTTGCCAGTTAGATATGATTATATATATATGGTGTTGTTTAACTTCCTAATGTATTATGTACACACCCATCCATTAATGTGTAATTATGGGAGGGCCTCCTTTGATCGTATTATTTTGACCGTAAAATGGTCCATTTTGTCCATTTTAGGTCAAAATGGACGATTTTTTCAATTTATAGGTTAGGGTTAGCGTTATAAATGATTTTAATTTACCGCGATTAAATAGACCAATCAGAAAAAAATGGACAAAATTTACGATCAAATGACTTACGATCAAAGTTAGGCAAATCGTAATTATATGGCTATTGTTACTTGCAACTATTGTTGCATTTAAAAAATTATAAAAAAAGTAAAATTTTCATTTTTTTTTACCATTAACAATTTTTATTTATTTCAAAATAATTTTTTTTTTATTTATAAATAAAAATTATTTTATTAATGGTATTAGTCCCTCCTATGATTGAATCAAGCCCTACTGGAAATTATGAGATAGATACAACTCTTGCAGGTAAAAAATATTATTTATTATTATTACATACTTTTTGTAGTAAATGTTAGATATTCGTCATTCTTCATTTTAAAAGAATGGCTAAATAAATACGAAATTTCTAATGCGACAAATTATTCAATACACCGTTCTAAAAAATCGAAGGACCCAATACTTAAGTCTACAATAATGTACGAACGACTTTATTACCAATGTTATGAGGGCAAGGTCAGACCATCCAAATCAAAAGGTTTTAATTTTTATTAACCCTTATCATGAATCAAGAAAATCTACAATTATCCAAAGAGAATCTAGAACTACCCAAAGAAAATCTACAATTATCCAAAGAGAATATAGAACTACCCATACAGGATCAATTACAATTACCTAAAACCTTGTCATTTCACAAATTGCATTCAAAATTATTATAATTGTATCTATTTTTATTATAATAATATATTTAAATAGTGTAATCATATTTAAAATACAAATGTTATGAAAAAGAAATAAATATTTGCTTAAAAAGAGTCTCAATTTATCCAGTTTATTGTAATGCTTATAGTATAAAAAGAATTAAGATATAATCTATTTATCTAAGTTTTGAGTTGTTTTTTTGGTCATTTTCATGGAATTCTTCTGCTATTATCTATTTTTAGTGTAGACTAAATATATATTGTGAAAATTAGATTAAACATGAAAAATTTAATTAATTAGGAAAAAAACATATTTATAATTTATAGCTTAATAAAAATATTTGCTTATGAAGAGTCTCAATTTATCCAGTTTATTGTAATGCCTATAGTATAAAAAGAATTAAGATAAGTTTTGAGTTGTTTTTTTGGTCATTTTCATGGAATTCTTCTGCTGTTATCTATTATTCGAAATAAAAAAAAAATTATTTTGAAATAAATAAATATTGTTAATGGTAAAAAAAACAACATGCGTTCTTTAAAAAATGAAAATTTTACTTTTTTTATAATTTTTTTAAATGCAACAATAGTTGCAAGTAACAATAGCCAATTATATATCGCCATTTGTAATTAAGTTGCACCTTGTGGTTAAATTATATTGAATAAAATGTCAATGAAAACTGATACTTATTGTGAATGAATTATAGAAATAAATAAATGTAAATAATTGTTCTACCTTCGCTAAAATATATAAATTAAAATAATATTGTTTTAATGAAAATTATGGCAAATATTATATATTTGAAGAAAAATATTGTTATAATGAAAAAAATACTTCTATGGTTATCATTTTTAGATTGAGCCATGCGTATAGCTTTTATTATTTTATAAATAAAATATCTTATATAAAATATAAATTAATTTACCTGTTTTTTCTTTTCTACTGTCCCTACATTATTAACAATCCTCTCATTCACAATAAGCCTTCTTTCTTCATTAACCAAACAATCTAAATAAGATTAATTTTAAAGTGTATTTCATCAAATGTAATTTGTTCTAATACAACTCATACCTTTATATAGATTACTGCTACCAACAATCTGGCTTGTTGTAGCATCCTTGTCAGATTCCATGCCTCTATAAAATTTTATATTTAATTGTATTTAATAAATTAATACATTCTGAGATATCTATACATTGGATCTCGCATATATCTTCAGATTGACCCACAGGTTTAGCTTCTATTATTTTATAAATAAAATATCTTATATTATATATTAATTAATTTACCTGTCTTTCTTTTAACCTTTTTGTTTTCAAAATTTATATCTTTTAGAGCCACAATTAATCGTCTTTCAATATCTAAAGTATAGTTTGTAATTAAAAAACTGTATTAAATATAGATTGTTCACCACCAGCTTTATTATTGAATGCTTAGTTTTTTTTAAAATTTTTGATTGATAAATTTTTCACATGCATTTTAAAGTTGAAATAGTGATTTTGAACTCGGATAATTAAAATATTAAATTTGTTAATTATCAATTAATTAATGATTATATTTATTTAATTAGGGTTGTTGTGTTTTAATTAGTTTATAATTATTATTATGTTTTATTCTAGTGATATGTTTTTTTTATTATATATTACCATTTATATTTTTGTTTTCTTTGTTCATTTAGAAGTGATGTTTTCTCATATTATCATTTATATTTTTTTATTTGTTCACGACGTATACCGAGCCTGTTTTGATTTCATCCTCAAAACTGGTTCTAGTAAGTTTTCGAGATGGACCAGGACATTAAATTAATATTCTTTTTTTTAATATTATTATTTGATTGAAAAATGGGTCTATATAAAGACCTCGAAAAATGAATTGTGATCATTAAATATTTGATTTTTTTCTTTTGCTGTTTATAATATTATACTGTTTAATTACCAATTGAAAATAAATACGTGTTTCATTAATTTCTCGACTTACCAGTGAATGACAAAAATGATGGCCAAATCCGGTCCCCCGGTCCCCATCATCAACCGTCTAGGACCCCCGAACACGGACAGTATCTATCCCGGCCCGACGGGGGGACCCGTCGGTCCAACTTCAACAGGTTTTAAAATAATAAAAATTAATTAAACTTGGAATGTTAATGCTAAATTGATATTTAAACATTATGCATGGTATTGATATTCCATTTTTAATACAGATTTTGATTGCAAGCTGACATAATAAAAATATAATTTTTACGTATTAATCTAATCTAATAATTAAAATAGTAATCTATTAATTAAAATCTATATAGTCTTATTAATTTTTAAATAATAAAATTAAATATATAATACTTAATAGAATTATAAAAGAAATCGTTCTTGGGGTAATTAAAAATTTATTTTTAGTTCGAGGGGATAATTAGCCTTTAAAAAAATTTTTTGCTTCATGGGACACGGACGCCACTGAGTCATAGACATGACACCCACGATGTCAACTCATATCAGAACTCATTATGTTAGATAAATTGATAAAACAAAAACACTAAAAATAATTAGTAGAAATTATGCTAATATATTGAAGCCGTTATTTACACGGCAATGCCATATTAGAAATGAAACATTTTCGTTTTTTTTGAAAAAAACGGCGTTTCTTTTATTTTTGACGAACTTTGAACGTGAACGCGTTCCTTTTTTATGATGAACGCGTTCGAATTTAACGTTCGTTCAATTTTAAAAATATTTTTATTTATTTGAAAAATTTAATATTTCCGAATTTTTTAAAAAAAATGTATTATTTATATTTTTTAATCGGCTGTGTATTTCCTTTTCACATTTCAATTTTTTTAACACATAGTTTATTAATTTGAATATTATTGTTTATATTTTAATTTAATAGATTAGCATAAGCATGGATATTATTATTTAATCCTCATCATCTGATTCTGAAAATCCAAAATCAGATGAATTATCATTACTATGGCCAAATATGATAAATGTTTTACATTAACATCATATATTGAAGGAACTAATCCAATGCTTACCAAGTGTTAAATGTGGCCAAAAAGTATTATATTGTCAAAATCTTCAGGTTCCAATTTAAAACGACTAAATATTAATTATTTGATTTTATATGATATAACTAAGTTAAATCATTAAATTTGAAGAAATAATACATTTGGGATATTTGACCCATACAATAACGATAGTTATTTTAAAATTAAAAAAATTAGTGGCCTCAAATATAGTCAAGACGCCGTATTAAATGGGGGATTAATAAAAGGTATTAAACCTATTACTCTCAATTAATTACATATATTTAATTTTTTTTAAAGATTTGAACATATATATAAGGATCAATATGTTCTTTCTGCAATTATACATCCAGCATTCAAACTTCAATGGCTACCATGGATAAAACTTCCACAGAACGAACCTATTAAAAATAAACTTTAGCGTCATTGAAAAAAATGCTATGAAAACCCTAGAGAACTGTTAATTTCGAGATATCCTTTAAGAATGGATTGGAGGGGATAACTTATCTTAATTTTTTGCAAATGTTTTTAATTAATTCTCCACGTTAAAAGAGCTGTTTATTAAGTATAATACCGCAATACCCTCATCTGTCCCTGTAGAACACTATAGCTAATGCCGTATTAACTGCCAAGTGTTCCTGTCTATCAGATAAATATTTTGAAAACAATTGTTATTAAAATTTAATAAGAAAATTTTTTTTAAAATAAATATATTTTATTCGCTATATTATATTATATTTTATTTATAATTATATTATGAAAATAAAACTATATTATTTTTTAACATGGCTAAATATTGTATTAAAAAATATAAGTTTATTTATATTAAATTAAATTTAAAAAATAATTTATCATAAAATTTTGAACGGTTTTATGAATGTGAACGCGTTCCTTTTTTTTGAACATGAACTTGAACGTGAACGCGTTCAATTTTTTTAGAAATGTTTACAGCATTAAATTTATTACATCTATTGCAGGATGAATAATAAAATGTTTAAATATTTATAACTAAATAGATGGCGTTAAATACTTAAATGCAATTTGTTACTATATTTATTATCAAAACTTTTAATTTAGTGGAAGGCAACGGGAGAACTCTTTGTTGATTTTAAAATTTAATTTTATTATATGTATCTATATACAAAATTCTTGTAATTATATACATTTTTTATAACAGCGTATTTACATGTTAACAAAGTACATTTGTCCTTTACAATTTCATTTTTCGTTACCGATTTTTTCTTATCTTTTATTACAGTGACCTTTTAAACTAAAAAATATCATTCAATTTTGGTCATATTTAACATTTCCCCTTTTTTTTTATTTTATGTCTTCTTTCCTTAGTTTCTTCTTAACTTCCAGTCTTTCGTTTCTCAATTGCTCCATTAGTCATTTGTTCGTATATCTTTAGATTGTTTGTTTGACCATCTGATTATCGTTTGTTGAATCGATTATCGAACATCATGAAACATCGTTGGTTGAACATCATTGTTGAAACGTTGTTGGTTGAACAATGCTTGTTGATTTGTTGTTTGTATTGATCATCCCATTTCTCTTTCAAAATTTGTATATATATTTTTTTTTACAAAATTTTATTTATTTATAACAATTATTTTCTATGTCGTAGGTCATAATCTCGCTTTTGAACTTGACTCTGAATTTTTGAACTTGAACTTGACTTTGAATTTTCGAATTTTGGACTTGAATTTTCATTTTGTTCTCTATCACCAACTTTCCCCCCTCTAAAATTTGGTGTTTTATATGTCGAGTCGTCTTTTACTGTTGATCTTTTCTTTATTTGATCTAAATGTCTTCTGCTGATTTTATTTCCGTTGTCTATTTTGTATGATAAATTTCCTTCTTTATGTGTTATTATTCCTTTGTCCCAAATGTTTTTCTTAAACGTTTTGTACCAACTTTTATCTCCTTGTTCTATAGTTCTATTTGTTTATATTTTGCGATTAA